TTTCATTTAATTGATAAGAAATTATAAATATACAACTTTTTAATGATTTTTACTTTTTTCTCATATTATGCCAGATGTATACTCCATATTATATCGCATGTCAAACTTTTATGTATTAGAGTCTCAAACTTATATATAAAGGATTGAATAATTCTACTATTAATAATTTAAAATAAAGGATTTAATGAAATTCTTTATTTTTAATAATTTTTATTTTTGATCTTTAATAATTTTATTTTTGATGAAAAGTAAGAGTTTAATCCCATGTCAAATATTATAAAATGGTGGTTAGCTCATAAATCAAATGCCACATGTATATTCCATATTATGCAACATGTCAAGCTCTTATGCATTGGAGTATTAAATTTATATATACAGGATTTTATATACAAATTTGTATATAAATAAAAAGTATAAATTACATATTTCAAAAATGCATCAAAGTTTCTGCAAAATAAGATCTGACAAAAATGATTTATTTTATTAAATTATCAATGAAAATACATAAATAACTATAAAAAGTTCTTAATAGTAACTTAGCAAGTTAATTTGTGGAGGAAGAGAGTATTAGACTAATCATCATGTGTAAATGAAAAATCAAGGTCTGTTTGTTGAGCGTAAAAGATATGAATTTCAATATTCCCCGATATCATATTTCCTTTTTGGTGCTTGGCTAGACAGATAAAATTTTACATTCGATATATCTAAATATCAGAAATTTACTAAATGGATATTTTGCTAGCTCCCAGATTTAAAAAAAATACCAATTTGGGAATTTGAATTGACCGCCCCCAACTACCACTGTATCACCAACCACCCCGTTGTCGATCATACTCGCTTATCACTGATTAAATCACGATTTTAAATTTTTCAAATTATATAACTACATTTCAACTTTTGATTTTATTTTAAGTTTAATTTATTTCATATTATGCATAAAAGTTAAAAATAAAATTTATATATTTAAAAATTACATAAAACATTCTTCAAGAAGGATGTGTCATCATTACAATTTTATATTAAGAAACGAATAGTAATAATTAAATTGAGTAAAAGCTTGATCATATGAATAGTATTTGGTAATTCATTTTCAAATAGTGGGAGTACTACTTTTAGATAATAAAAAAATTTGTACTAACTCACAATTTAACCTTAAGTTCTTAAGACCCACTCCAAAATAGGCTCCTCGAGGAGACGAGGAACTAAGTCAACTGAGGCAGTCTTAGGTAGAACGTTCACGCAGGGTGTGTTCAGACCTTGGTCCGGCAGAATAATGAAGTGTAAACTATGATACAATCTTAGCATGAACTTTAGAAAAATCATCTTGTATCCAGTGCATATAAATAGTTATCATATTAAATAAAATTTTCACACTCGCTGGCGAGAATCGATCATAAGACTTATTCAGACTGAACACTCTTTTCACACGATCATCTACGCTATACTTAGAGGCAATTCAAGCGGTCCTAGCATTCCGCAATAGATTGAAGATAAAGAGTTTGCTCCCTTCAACTTATTACTTATTAGAACCTGATAAAAAATTACTTTAAATATGACTATAACTAGATCATATACAAAGTGGTTTGTAAGACAATGTCCAATGGAACATAAATTAGATATTTCTTTCATCTCAAGAAATTACCATATATTAAATGCATGTTGTTTTGGGATGGAAAAATAAAGTTGAATGTTAGAAGAAATTGACAAAAATTAAAAAAAAAGTTAAGAAAAACTGAAAGGATTTAGAAAAAAATTATTGAAAAAATCTAGTAGAAAAATGATTGAAAAAATGAAAGTTATTGAAATGAATTCGAGAGATAACTTCAATTGGACTGGATGGCCGGTCAATTAACTTCATTCCCCATGTTAGGTCTTCCCAAGTGAAAGATCCGAGTTCGAACCCGATTGTTACAATGAGGAATAACCATGTAAAGCATGATTGAGACTTTTAACTCAAATAACAAAGATTATAACTTAGTTTATCTCTTCTCGGCTAACTATCCGATCGGTGCTGAAGTACCCTCAAAATGGGATTTCATCTTTTTTTTTCCCTGTTGTTGTTAAGTACTCCCTCCGTCCCCTTGTATTTGTCCACATTTGATTTTTGGAACTGTTCATCTAAGCACTTTGACTCATCAAATTCTCTCAATGTGTAAGCCTAAATATAGTCATGTGTGATCTTGTTTGATTTGTCTTAACATATAGATTATTAATATATAATTTTTATAATTTTTTAATATACAAATTACAAGATAAAATAGATTTAAAAAGTGCATTGGATGGTATGTAAAAATGAAAATGGACAAATACAGGGGGACGGAGGGAGTAATATGGAGTAGATGGGAAGAAAGTGGCACTGATCTGGGTTAGAGCTTGAAAAAAAAATGAAGCCATTTGGAGAACCAGAGTGGTAGATGAATCAAAACATGGGGAATTTATCTTTCTTAGAAGTAAACAACCTTTTGGAATTTTGCCACACCTTATATCATTATTAGGAAAGTAAAATAAAAATAAAGTTATTCAAAATTAAAATAAAGAAACAACCCTCTGTACACATTTCAAAAGAAACAACCTTTTGAAATTGGGGAATTTATCTATATGTTTTAATTTAATTTCCAATGTAGTACTTTATGTTTTAATTTCCCAATATAGTATCACTGATCATTGTTCACTGGATACTTTTCAAGTAAATGTCCACCATCATCGGACATTGTTCAAGTCCACCGTCACTGCACATTGTTCAAGTATAATTTACAACAACGACAACAACATCCCAGTTGAATCCCACTACAGTAAGGTCTGAGGAGGGTGTGTGTACGCAGACCTTGCCCCTACTCGGAAGTAGAGAGCCTGTTTCCAAGAGACCCCCGGCTCAACCTGCACAAAATTATGTGTTCAAGTATAATTTATAGAATAAAAAGTTTTAGGTACTACATTGGAAAAACATACTCCATATGTTTTACTACTCCCTCTATCCTAAAACTTTCTTCTCAGTTTGACTTTTCTCCATTTTTAATTTTTGGCTTTGAATTCAAATTTTACCGTTCTTAAAAAAGATTTTTTGAAATTTTTTTTGCAATCATTCAAATTATAGAGTTAGAAGATAATTGGTGTAAATACATGATGGTATTAATGTCATTTGTCATATTTTTTTTCTAATGGGAAGGTAGTTTTAGGACGGAGAAAAAAGAGAAGTGAGAAGAAAGTTTTAGGACTGAGAAATACTATTTAGTATAAACTTCACTTTAAAATTGATATAAAGTTTCAAAAGAAACGACCTTTTGGAATTGTGTCGCACGTTAAATCATTATTAGAAAATAGGGGATATATATAGGGATTAATTGTTTATTTATGTAATTTCTTTTAATCCTATACCAATACTTAATTAAATTACATAAAAAAAATTAGTGAAAAAAAGAGACAAAATAAAATACCTAGGGGAGGTAAGGAGTACATATTGTGAAGTTTTAATTTGTATACGTAAGAAACAACCTTTAATTTTTATACGGAGTAATTTTTAGTATGTACGTCGTCTGGCATCTATAGCCACTATAAATTGCCCCCAAAAACTCCTCACCTGAGAGTAAACCAACATTGCAATTTGATTTACTCCGTGTGTGTGTGTATATATATATATATATATATATATATAAGAATGGGCTCCCTGTGCAACTACAACGGGGAACTAGGGGAACTAGTCGCCGAGGCCAACGACGACGAAGACCCCGACCAAGGAGACAGCGACGATGACAACAGCAGCAGCGACGACGACGATGATATTCACAGTGAAACTGGAAGCAACACCGACGAAGACGAAGAGGAAGCGACCGACGATGATGATGACGACAACGACAATATGGACGAGGACGAATAAGATACTGACAGCAATGCTGGTAGCTAGCTAGCTGACTAACTACCTGCAACGCTGTTAGTTATGGTCGGGATCAGAGTTCGTACTTTTAATATATGTCATTTTTGTTTATTTATGTTTTCTCAATACTTATTTGATAAAATAAAATATTGTTATCAAGTCACATGAGTGCTATCATGGGTGCCACCACATGAGTGTTTGTATCTGCGAAGCATAGATACACTCATGAAAGCACCCATGTGGTGGCACCCTAGCATGACCCTTTGTTTTGTACTTCTTAGAACTTATTTGATAAAATGAAATTTGTTATGTTCACTATGATTCTTCCTAGTTTGACTTTCATGGTCAAACTTTTTAAATTTAATTTAGACTACAAATTACGTAAAATATAGATTGAATATTGTGATATAAATTTTAAAGTTCATGTTATAACATATTTTCAAATTTTTTAAACAGTAATATTAAGTATTTTTATTTATGGTAGATGTATTATTTTACCTCATCCGTCCCAAATTAAGTCGCACGTAAGTTTACTAATCACATGGTCTAATTTCATTCACTTTTTTCTTTTTTTCATTAATCATTTGATAAAATAATATAGTACCTTTCGAGAACTTATTATTTAATGAATAAATCTAAAAAGAGATTTATTTTTATAATATTATAATATATTTCTTCTGTTCGAAAACTTCAGTATGGGAAATTACGTACCGTTCAAAATTACTGAAATGATCATTGGGTTCAGTACAGTTATTTTTTTTGTTGAAAATTTTAGAGTTCAATCTGCTACTTGCTCGCCCCTAAAACAGGCAACTTAATTTTGTGACAAAGGGAGTACTAAATGTGAAAAAAAGTTTAAGGTATAAAAGAAAAAACTGTACATTAAACTTTTTTGACTTTGGAGTCAAAATTAACTTTAGGTGCAATTAAAAGAATTGAGAGTGTGTTCGGGTCGGGTGGGGGGTTTACCAGGGGTACGAACCGTCAATTTTACGACCAGAGCACCGTAGCGTTCCTGGCTAATCCTATGACATGGTGTTCCAATGTAATGAAAATCCCTCCATAAACTTTTATACTCCGTTAAAAACTATTTATTTCTCCTTTCAAAAAAATAAAATTTCTTTCTAATATTGTTTGGTAAATTATATTGTTTACCAAATAGTGACAATAATATACCCAAAAAAAGTAGAAAGAAAGAGAAAAAAGTGATTCATCATTCTTCATTTTTCCATGGCATAAATATGGACAAGTCCCCTCAACAATAACAAGCGCACTCTGATTTCCGGTAACAAAATAAATGAGGAAACGATCGAGGGAGTTCCACAAAATTGGAGATCAATGAAATGAATCATAGTGTTTCAGCTCTTAGCTAGCTACAAGACGAATAATCTTCCCTTCACCAGCAGCAAATCTAGAGCTTTTACTAATCTGCATTGAAACAAGAAACAAAAAACAAACAATATAAAATCTAGTCATTATTTAATTTGAAGCCAAAAATGAACTGCCATCACAATATAAAGGGAGTATTTGGTTTGACTTTGGGGGTGATTTTGCTGGTTTTAGAATCACAATCACATTTCCCATCGTTTTGGTGTGTTTTTTGACACAATGAGACGTGAATCTGGTTTCTGAATCAAGATATTGGATTACTCTACTTATGGTAATGTTATTTGGAAGGGAGTTTTGGGACACTTACAGTGCTCCGTTTGCAAAATTAATAGTTTTAACCCCCTAACCACCCACCCAAACCCCAGCGCTCTCTAGTCCTCGATTCCCCAGCTCAACCCCCCTTTCCTTAATCGTCAATTTGGCCGGCGATTAAGGGGAGGGGATTAGAGAAGGTAAGAACCATCAATTTCATGAATAGAGCACGGTAAGTGCCTGGTATCATCAGATGACACCGGACTCTGGTGTCTCTAGACCCGTGCCATATTTGGAATGGCCTCTTTGTTCAAATGCAGACCAAAGGCACCCAGAATCAATAGCGTGAACGAAAAACTTACTTTCTTCTCAAGAACTTCTTGAACTTCATTTTCATCACGGGTGTAGCCTGATTCCCTTAAAGACTTCAGGACTGCCTTCTTAAGTTTCCCAAACTTCATAGCACCATCTGGTTTCTGCTCCAAATGTAGGATAGAGTGACAACCATGTACAGAAGAGTAATTTTTTATTTTAAAAAAAATGGTAGATGCCCATCAATTTTTGGAGAAGTGGCGATTCCCATCAATAATATTTCTAGAAGAAAATAGCCCATGACTATTAGTTCATTTTCACTTTGGTGCCCGGCTTTCATTTTTCTCCTATTGATTGCTTGCCGAGCTAATTCCAAAGTAGAAATAACCTAATAGTTGTGGAACAAGAAGTAGAATATTTTGTTTTGGAAATAGATTGAAAACTTATATTGTCGGAAAATAAACAATAGGAAGAGAAAGAGTATACAGATTTCAAAGCTGAGGTGATCAGTTTCTTCCACTTAATCTTCTTTGCTTTATCTTCTTCTACTTCCACCAAAGTGTTTTTGGCTCTCTTGACATGGATGTTTGTTTCTCCCATACTTTCACCTCCTGCCTTTTGTTTGACCGTGCCATTTTCAGATGCTTCATGCCTCCGTTTCTTTTTTGAGAGTAAATTTTCATTTTCTGCTTCAGATGGATTGAGATCCTTTTGCTCTTTATTTGATTTTCTCTCGGGAGCCTCTTCTTTTGGATTGTTATCAGTTGAGACAGTTGCATCTGGGTTGGTTGATTCTGTCTTCCCAGTCTGTTGTTGGTTGGCAGCATGAAAAGCCCGTGCCTTTGCTCTATGCTTCTTACCATCAGCATGGAGAAGAAGGGTTTGCTTACTAGAAGCCTTAGTATTGCATAGACTGCATATAAACAAATCATCATCGCATACACGCAAAAAAAACATTAATTTGGGGGCAATGAAACCCAGAGCGAACAAGTGGAAACCAACATTAAAAAATTACTCTAAAAACGGAGCCTCATGCAAAAAAATCCCATCAAGCGAGGGTTCAAGGAAGGTCCCACCACAAGGGTGTATCTATAATTCCTTTTCAATGAATTCCTATATACCCATAAATTTAGAGTTCAAAGATAAATATTTTTTTTCCAAAGACTGATTAAAACCTGCAAAACCACGGAGGGCGATCAGACAACCCAACATTTGTATCCACTTCGGGCCTTTTTTTCGTGTCGCTGTTGGGGTTAGAATTTTTTCCATTTGGTGTTTTCACTTGGCCCTTTGGACCATACTTTTCCTGATAAAATATCATTGAAAACAAGTCCAAATCATAAACATATTTTGAAACAAGTACTTGTATTAAACAAGAAATTCAAAAGGATGTTTTAAGCAAATAAAAACTTCAGGGCAATTATTGTCCTTCAATCTAACAGACCCCCAAAAAGAACATTTTGTAGCATCTTTTCCAGCACCATCAACCATTTACAAGGCATGCAATCAGCAAATGCAACAAGAATAAGAATGATGAAGTATAACTGAAGCCAAAGAACATCATGATGAGCACTTTAACAAAAAAACAATAACAACCAATATAATCTCAACACCATTGGACTATATGTGGTCATTATGTATGCAACCTTAACCTTGTACCCACAAAAAAAACTCTCTTTCCATTAAAACCTTGATGCATTGCTGCATTTACTACCCAAAACATCATAATAGAAGAAGCAAATGAAGCATAATGCGTTATTACCACTGTAAGCATTAAGCTTTTAAGAACAAATCATAACATTTTTCAATCAATTTGATACTTATAGCAGGGTAAAAAGAAAGAATTGTCTTTTGCAGCACTTCCCCAATACGAGTGATATTGCAAGTGAGATCAGGAAATAACTTTAGAACAGACAGTAAAAATAAACAAATGCAATGCTTGAAAATTACCGCTTCAGAAATGCACTGGGTGTGACTTTCCACAGTTTGCTGGTTAAAGACTTGCCCACAATCAATGCATGATAGCTGCGGAGCAGAGACATCTCAAAAACAGTGAGATTCGTATCTAAATACTAATAAAACGATTAAAATCGATGATTTGATGGATCAAATTACTTCAAACGAAAACATGGAGGATACACGGGAATGAAATGAGAGGGCAAAAAAAAAGTGTGGACCTTGAAAGCAGAGCAAACTCTGTAATGGCCAGGAAGCTTCGGCTTCTTCAGATTGTCGCCGCAGTCCTCGCACTGAAACCAGACCATCTTCTATCCCCGTTTTGTTCTCTGTGACAAAGAAAAAAAGTCCTGAACGAATTCTGCGTTCGATTGTTGTTTGCCGGATTGCAGAGCGGAGCTGGGATACTCGGAAAATATGGGGTTTTCCGTTTAGGGTTTTGGGGAAGATGGTAAAGTTTGCTGATCTGAATGCAAATGTATAATGAGCCCACAAGTAGGGGTGTTCAAAAATATCCGATCCGAAATATCCGTCCATGATCCGGGCCAATTCGATCCGAAAAACGGATATTCGATCTGATATTTTAGCTTTTGGATATTTCAGATCGGATACCCGAAAAAAATCGGATCGGATATGGATTCAATTTCTGGAATTTTTCGGATAATCGGATATCCGATTTTTTTTTGCTATATGTTTTTGGAATTTTATGGATATATATTATGACTATATGTTTAAATGTAATTTTATGTTGATTTTGGAACTCAACCATTTTGGACTTTTTACATTACCATTTTAGAATCTTTTGTTTTAATAGTGTTTTTTTTGTTGTTTAGGAAAAATTACCAAAGTTACTCCCAAATTAAATTTGGTATCATTTTTTTATTAGGCCATTACCTAGTGGTGGAATTTTTCTTTTAGTAAATCTATATTGAATTTGATATTTTGGGTTGATTTTGCTATTTTACCATTTTTTTTGTAAATTTTGGCTAAAAACTCAACTTTTCGGATAATCCAGTGATCCGATCTGACAAATCGGATATCCGAATTTCGGATATCCAAATATTTTCGGATCGGATATGGAATGAGTTTTACGTGATCCGAAATTTTCGGATATCCGAATTTTCGGATCGGATCGGATCGATCCAATTGAACACCCCTACTCACAAGTAGCCCAGTTCAAGGTTAGAATTAGATGATGACATGATGCCCAAGACACCAAGAGAATGATAGAAATGTTAAAATATGAGAGGAAAAAATTGTGTTAGATGAGAAAGTAATTTTATTCATAATAAAGTAAGAGGGGGGTTCCCATGACATTGGGAACCAATCTCATGGTATGATCCGGTGGTGCTCCGGTGCCCCGTTTGTAAAATTGACGGTTCCTACCCCCCTAAATTCCCTGGTAAACTCCCATCCCGCCCCGACTCGAACACGCCCCCTCACCTCCTTCAATTGCACCCCCAAGTTAATTTTGACTTTGGAGTCAAAATTTGACTCCAAAGTCACAATTAACTTGTGGGGTGCAATTGAAGGGGGTGGGGAGCGTGTTCGGGTCGGGCGGGGTGGGGGTTTACCGGGGGAGTAGAAACCATCAATTTTACGAACGGGGCACCGGAGCACCCCCGGATCATCCCATGACATTGGTTTCTAATGTCATGAGAACCAAGATGATAAAGTAATTCTAACATGTTTTTCTGAAACATTCAAATAAAAAAATATTTAAAAAGTTTTTTCGTGACAAAGCAATGGTAGATAGATATGATATTTTTATTTTCTTTCAATGGATCATATGATTCGATTGAAAAAATATGAATAAATTACTCTTACAACATGTTTATTCAATGAATTTCGAAACCCATCTCTTATAATAGGGGTGCATATATGGGGTCAGCAATATTAGGAATTTAGATCCTATAGTATTAAATCTCCAATCCTATTCTTGCGCCCCACTCTAATTATTTCCTTTTATCACACTTCCTCCTTGACCTAGATCCTTCTTACGAACCGGAGCCCTACGCACTTACTCGGCCCAAAAGTGCTTGGTTCCAATTTGAATAGTGATATTGGGCTATGTAACACCCTGAAAATAGGCCTATCAGAATTAATTAATTGATAATTAATTAATTACTGAGAAGAACCCCAAAAAAATAAGTGAATTATAAAGTTTGTCAATAATTAATGAAAATTATATTGTTGTGTAGAGTTTGACTATCTGACCCCAACGGTTCAATCGGATTTTAATTTGGAGAAAGTTGGACCAAAAAGTGTACCCCGATTGGAACCAAAACTGGTCCCAATCAGGGACACTATGCGAACGGCGCCTCCCAGCGCACTAGCCGATCACAGGATCACGGAAATGACGATGCAATTTGTCTTCTTCCCCTCTTCAACCCCTATATAAGGGAGATCTCATTTCCCATTTTCTACACCATTCCTTCTACAATTTAGTTCAATAGAATCCTGTGAGTGAGGGGAGTAATCTGATAGTATTAGTTGTCGTCAAGTTCGCCGGAGCAAGACGTGGTGTTCGCTGGAAGTTTTGCCGGAAAATCTTCAAAACCTCCATTACACTTCGAGGTAAGCCTGTAGATATATCTAATGACTAGAATGTTCATATAGGTTGTTTTTACGTTCATAAATGGTCATTTAGTTGAGTTTGTGTTTGACATGTTTGAAGAACCAAGAATCATAAACCTTGAATTTGATGTTAAAAATATGTTTTAATGATTCTAAAATGATCTATGAACCTCGGAGGACATTTCTATATAATTTAATTGAAGTTTGGTGATTAAAAATGATAATACTCGAGGAAGAAGATGATGAACAGTAGCCGAAAATCGATTATTTACTTCTAAAAAATCGTTTAGATTTATGTCCAGAAGAGGATGTTCGAAGTCAGTATATAATCGATTATTTAAAATATAAAAATCGATTTAAAAAGTATTAATCGGTTATTTTGAAACTAAAAATCGATTTTTAGCCATTAATTGATTATTTAAAATTTAAAAATCGATTTTTAGCATTTGATTGATTATTTAAAATATAAAAATCGATTTTTAGCCATTAACTGATTATTTAAAATTTAAAAATCGATTTTTAGCATTTAATTGATTATTTAAAATATAAAAATCGATTTTTAGCAATTAATTGATTATTTAAAATATAAAAATCGATTTTTAGGTATTAATTGATTATTTTAAAAAAATAAAAATCAATTTTCCTCAAGTACAGATCCTGTTCTGAAAATATTATTGAAAATATGCTCTAAAATCCTATTTTGTTACCAATTAATTATAAACCATATAAATATGATTTTGTACAATAAAAATGATGTTTGTGACATATAAACATTATGTGATGCATGACGGTAAGTTCAGGTGTTAACACTCGAGACTAGGCCGCTATTTGTTATTATGCATTATGACGATTGTTTGATTATTGATTATAATGAATTAATGATGATGAACGGTTTGAATGATTATCATGAATTGTTAAAGTGAAAATAATGAATTAAGGAATCGTATTGTTAAGGATATCTAGAACAACTCTAAGATATACCCACTTGTATATTGATGATGATTATTAAGGATATCTAGAAGAACTCTAAGATATACCTACTTGACCAATTCATATTTCGGGTTAAAACGTACGTACGGGATCCAGACCGGATATCACCCACCCGACAAATCATTGTTCGGTTAGTACGTAATCCACATGACTCGTAGGGTGGATTATCGATTCTTGTGTTCTGCATTAAACTATTTATAGTTTAAGGGCCTGGTTAGAAATGTTGCCTTAGACTCGGAAAAGTTAAGAGTTGTTATGAAATGATTTGGCCTTAAATTAAGAATAATTTAAGAGCATTATTGATATATTGAATATCAAATGACTTGGAATAAAATATGGAAAATATTATGAATGGTTGAACCATATATTGTGTGCATGATATCAAATGGTTGATTGTGAATTGAGATTCAATTTATGTGGATGTTCGACGCTTTAGATATGCTTACTCAGCTTCACCGCTGAGCGTGTAGTGTGTTTTATTTGCTACACGTAGGTAGGCAGAATGAATGATTGGCTGATTCCTGGTAGCAGAAGGGGCGAGACAGTCGTGGTAGATTATTGAATGAAATAAATAATTATGTTGTTATGAGACAAATTTTAAAGTCGCTTCCGCATTTTATTTAAACACTCCGTATTTCTCTACAATTATGTATGGAATATTATTTATAAATAAAAATGTTTGAAATGTTTTAAATTATCACAATTACCAAATCAATACTTTAGTCCGAAAGAGGCTGTAGACCTGGACGGATTAGGGTGTTACAGGCTAAGTGGCTTGTATTACAATACTACCAGTAGTTGCTAGATCGATTTTCATCATAAGCCCACATGGGTGTGGTATGACACATGTCAAGGGGTTGTTCTACTTCAAACCATCATTACCCATCAATCTTTTGAAACATGTTGGCATGAAGCATCAAACACACCACATTGTTTCTTTATCATTGCATCTTAGAATCCCAAACCCCTCAATATATGAAGTCCTATCACACCACCTCAAATTTCATCTTAGTTTCATTCTTCATCTTCAATTGAAACAACGCAGCTACAGTCACAATTTAAAAAAATGATATCCATATGTGGAATCTGAAACCCACCCATATAAAGAGGCATGAACTCGTCAAAATGCAAAGATTTCAGGGCAATGATGTTGAGGTTCATTATCTAGAACACGTCTTTCTCACCATCCTTCCCAATGCACACACATACCTCATTATGTATAACGAATCTTTTATGGGCAGATTTTGGGTGCCATTTTATCCCGTCTATGTCGACCTCTTATCGCTGGAGGATCCTCCCCAGGTATCTAATTTCCAATGTGCATTGTTGAATCTTTCCTTACATCCTCCGATGTCAAGAACTCCATGAATCTACCACATCCCTCGACTTTGAATACATGTCTTTATCCCAATTCCAAACAGTCTCTTTCTAAGAATGTCCCTTCCAAGGTAGTGAAGTAGGGCAAGTACTTTTAATTTGTCTTTCACAACGAACTCCCCTAGGGTTTCTCGTGAAGTCTAGACTCTTCCCTTGAGTTTTCTTACAAAACTCCATTATTGAAGGTTGAGAAATTCTGGGAGAGAAGATAACCAAGCTTTAGGGATTTCTCTAACATTGAAGGGGTGAAGAATGAAAGATATGTTAGCCCTTTTATTGAAGAACATGCATGAGGATGAAGGTATATACATCTCCATCACAGTCACCCAACATAATCATCCATGCCTTGACAAAATAAAAAAAAGGTGGAGTTGATGTGGTGTTGGGATGGTTATGAACATGGAGATGGGGGGATATATGTATGATGGAAGATGTATGCGAATATCTTGCAGGAGGAGGGGATATTGGTTGATTTTGGGATAAAATCTCGGTTCCGGAAGAAATACTTTATATGTTTGAATATCGAGTTATTTTTCGAACGGAGTCCGATTTCAAAATTGATCGCATTTTTTGAGCTTGGGGAAATAAATACAATCTAGCGGTGCATTCAAAATAATTTCCTAATATTTGTATTTTTCAAGTCGCCGGAGGCCACATGGTTAAAATTAGCGACTTGAGTAGTAAATACTTTTAAACCAATTTTTGTATCGTTACAACCATCACGGTCGACCACCAACCACCATTGCTATCGTCGACGACGACTAACAATCACCACACCACCGATCAACGACCGCCATCATCGCCAACTCACAACCACCAGTATTGTCGACCAATCACTAGGGGTGTTGAGATTTAGAATGGTCCAAACTCTTAAGTATTCTAGTCCAAAGCTTATTTCATAGAGACGAGACAATCTGAGACACAATATTGTTCAGATTTTTTCACCAAACAATTAAGGGAGGTGTATTCAATTTAGATTTTAAAAGATTTTGATAGATTATTTAGGATCTATAGATTATGTAAGTTCATTGGATTGTTTTAAGTTTACGCAGAGTTAACTAGATTCTAATGTATTCTATCTAAGGATTTTATAGGATTATATTTTTCTTTTCTTTTTTTCTTCTTCTTTTCTTTTTTCTTTTCCTTTTTCTTTTTTTATCTCCTCCTTCCCCCATGAACCCTAGCTGCGCCGCTTCTTCCATCCACATTCGTTCTTTCTATTTTTTCTTTCCTTTTTTCTTTTTCTTTTCTTTTTTTCCTTTTGCCTCCCCAGAAACCCTAGCCCCTCTATGTTCTTCGATCTTCGACCTTTCCTCTGCCTAATTTGAGGGTCGCCGACTCGCCGTCATCATGGCACCACGTCGATATGGTGAAGGAGAAAATTGGGTCGAGATGGCACCACGTCGAGACGATGAAGGATACGCCGGGAAGATTGGGGCGGGATGGTGAAGGAGACAATCCTACGTGGATTTGCAAAATCTTGCATTTTTTGTGAGATTTTGGACTTAGATTTTAATTTATACTCAAAGCCCCAAATCCATCAAAATCCATAGATTATACAAATCTTTTAAAATCAATTGATTTTTGAATACCATTATATTTAGAAGGATATATTTAAATCTAAATTGAATACTTCTAGATTTTAAATACGGAGTAACTTTCTTAAATCAAGATTGAATACCCATAGATTTTTGAAATCCAAAAAAATACTACAAAATATAAATTGAATACACCCGCCCCCTAAGTTTCATATGATTCAATTTATGTTCGTCATTGTACAACCATACTCCCCCCGTCCCACAATGATTTAAGTTCTTTAGTATCCAAAAGTCACGAGAATATTTATTTTTAAATATATTTTCATTAATTATTTGTTGATTTAAAACATATTTTCAAATCTTTTTTTTTGTAGAATTTTGGATGTGCTTTTTAAGTATGCAAATTCTATTTTATATTTTTATTCCAATCTTCTAAATAAAATGAATTAAAAAAAATTAAAAGTATACTTTATTTTGCCTAAAAATGCAATTGAATGAAGAACATGAGCAATGAATATTCCAAACCCCATTTTATTTATTTTCAATATATCAAACCAAAGCTTAAGATGTCAAAAAAACAAAACATGACAAAAAATAAAGAGAGCAATAATAAGTACGGAAGTATATGAATGTTTTTCCCTTTTAAAAAATATTTATTGCCTATATCGGCAAATCAAAATCTAAATTAGACAATGGGCACAACATGCGCGGGCCCCACCATCTCCAACAGCTAACCAATCATCATCACCAAATAAATAAATAAATAGATAAATAAAACTTAAATACCAAAAAAAAAGAAAGAAAAGAAAAGAATTTTACAGACAAGTTATTAGAGAGAGAAAGCATCATCATCATCAGCTTAAGCAAAGCTTTTTAGACAGAGAAACTCTCCATTCATTTTCACTTTACCTTTCCATTTCTGTTCATCTCAAATTCTCCCTCATTTTATACAGTTCTACGTTTCATCTCCGGCGAGTATCGGGAAAAGCCTAAGCTTTTCAACGGACGGAGGGAAAGCCGGTTGTTTCCTTCTCCGTCTCCCTTGAAATCGTCGCCGGCGCGCGGCGGGAATTGCCGGAGCTCCGAGTTGGTGCCAGCTCCGATCTGAGCGGGCGAGTCGGAGGCCGGCGGTTTTTTTCCTGTTGATGAGCTGCGGGGGAGGAGATCGATAGACTCGGAGCTTGTCCGATGGTAAGTCAGAGCTGAAACGACTGCTTCATTTGTCGTTTTTCGTTTGTCTTGTTGATTTCCTCTTCAAGTCAATTATTTTCCAACCGCAGTCAATGCCACTGATTCATTTTTTCATTGTCTTGTTCTGTGGATGGGGATTTAACTGGGGTGAATATACATATATATATGGCTTGTTGAATATGCAAAAACTTTTGGAGTAATACATAGAGACTTGTATTGATTAGTGACAATGTATTAAGACTTGATCAAGACATATGCCTCATTCTTTTGAACTTTTAACTCCACTAATCCAGATTTCATGTTATGGGCTCCAGACTTTAGTTAAAATTGAATTAGTATGACTATCCCGAATTCCCGACTCGAAATTCTAGTTTTTAGACTCCGAACTCCGAGTTTTATTCTTCCCACACTAGTAAAATTAAAACAAAGAAAAGGGCCTTATTACATTTTAGAACCAATGGTGTCTTATGGAAATGGAACCAAAAACTGTACTATTCAGAGGACTATTATGTCATCAAAAGAGAAAGAAAGGAAGAAAGAGGAATCTTGGAGCCTTGTCTGGCAATTGAAATGAACACTCGGCTCGAGTTAGCCAGTGTTAGTGGGAAGCTAAACCATAATAATCTGGGTTCCTGCATGAACAGATTGTTGATTAATCCAGATTATCCTCATTTCTTCAATATTGCCTCGTATGAGCAAATCAATATTGCCACGGGTGAAGTGGAAGATGCTAATGGGGATTCTAATATTAGTGAGTATATGGGAATATGCACACTTCATAGCCCATCTAGGAGGCACTTCATGAACATAATACAGAGTATTAGAGTTTAGAGCATATGCTATCAAATTCACTCATTCACTACCGTGTTTTTTTAGAGAAAGATATTCAAGGACAGATACCTAGCCAATACAAAGAGTACTGTTAGATATTGTGTTAAATATATTGTGCCTGTTAGGTTTGTCCAACTTTTTTGCTTTCTCTTTGCAAATGTTAACTTATTTGCGAGCATTAGCTGTAGCGGTTGATAATTAAAACATAGTTCCGAAGTTATTTATTTATTTATTTATTGTTAAATTGTTTGACATGAAGGAAAAGAACCATTCTACCCTCAAATTTAAGTTATCATTTCATTTAATTTATTTAATAAATAAATTTTAATTCATTTTTAGATGGCTCAATCCACTCAATGATTTCATCATCTATCTTCTCAGAATCATTTAAATATTTTAACCAAATTTTAAATCCATCAAACACACTCTACATGTCGGTCCCCTCTTATTTATTTCACGAATGTAATTGACCGACCATTCACAAATTTATAAAGTCAAATCAATGCTCAAATACATAAGTTAAAGGATAATGTAGCACACCTCTTTTAAGTAATAAGTAATGCCATGTTCCTTCATTATTAGACTAATGTTTTGGCAAGTGTTTTGACTGTTTTCTACAAAATACCAATAATTTGCACATGAAAATCAACGTTCATTATTAATTTTAAAAATTGTTTGATACTCCCATAATCTATATTACACCCTTGCTAAGATTCCTCAAATGGGGAAATTCTCTCTAATATACTTAACACCAAGGTGTGGTGGTGGTCATATATACAAAATTATTAAACCTTACAAGACTATGCACTTGCTGAAGTTCAAGATATTGGTAATGCATGAACAAAACTTCAACTTGCTTTAATTGGATGCTAATCCCTATAATTTTCACTCAGCTTAAAGCCATGAACAAAATTTTAACTTGTTCTAATGGGATGCTAATTGCACATTAGAATATTAGATGCATATAGAGTTGCTACTTTTGTTTTGGAAATGTGGCCCAAGGCCAAATCTTAGCGGGAGATGAAGGAGATCTAGCTTATGTAGCCCCACAAAATTAAGAATAGTTGATAGTTTTTATTAGAGTTAATTTCATAAATGGTCCCTAATTACACGTCGTTTTCATATTTAGTCTCTAATTCTAAGATATTACATGAATGGTCCTCAAATTTTGAAATGATTTCATAAATAGTCCTTCAGGCCAAATATTAAAAAAATATTTTCCACATATAGTCCCTGAAGAACTGATTACGGAATAGTTTTCAAAAATTGAAGACTATTTATGTAATATCTTAGAATTAGGGACTAAATATGGGAAAACACCTGTAATTAGGGACCATTTATGAAATTTACTCTTCTTATTATGTACTCCCCCCTTACCAAAATGTTGAGCCCTTGCGAGAAACTAAGCCAAAGTTTGGTCAAAATATCTTATAACGTGCATAGTAAAAAATTACATTACTACTACAACAACCAACCTATAAGATCCCACGAATAGGGTTTTAGGGTCAGTGTACGTAGACCTTACCCCTACTTATAAAAGGTAGAGAGACTGTTATGGAAAACCTCGACTCAAACACAAAAGACAAAAATTACATAGTCGAATATTATAGAGTTAAGAGTTATGAAACTAATTTTCATCATAACTACAACAACATCACAATAATATTTTTTGACTTTGTATCTTAAGAAAAATTGTTGAAAAAGTGTTGACTTTGACTTTCACAAAGTTCAAAAAGTGTTGAAAAGTGAAAAAGGTGTGTTTGAAATTGGTTAAGAGGAGAAAGAAATTTTCTTATGCACAAATTCTTTACTTTTAAAGGAAAGTTAGAAGTTTTTTATGAGACAGGGGGAGTATATCTCTCTCAGACACTCTCTCTCTCACACACACACACACACACATATAAGTCCAAGTGTGAATGATGCACAATGAAAGAAATGAGAATGCATATGATCGAATTGGATTTAAGATCTAAAGGCTATTAAGAACTAGAAAATCTAAAAAAATGGAAAATTGCACTGACATTTCATACATAAATCAAACTTTGATGACACTTCAAAAATGCACTTTTGCAAGTGTGAATGTGCATTACGATAGACCAAGAATGCATTTTTTGCATTTCTCTCAATAAGACCATTTTCACATGAACCTATACACAGACACACTGATACACACACACACACTAGTATAACATTTATCCCTTCTATATATGTATATAAATGTATGTGTGTGTACAACACAAATGTAATACACCTAAGTAATTATGAAACATTGTGGGGGGGGGATCTAGCTCCGTCTCTATATGAGGAATTTAATGTGTCATTCCCCCTACCCCCCCGCGCCAAATATAATTATTGATTAGAGCAAGAATATTCTATTTCCATATATGTGAAACTCACTGCTTTGTTAGCCCATATATTATATATCAACAAACCTAAACTCTAGAGATACTTGTCCAACTATTGGCATTTTCAATACCCTTCAAGTTGAAGGCTTGAATATATCGGTTAAGATCTCTTTCTATAGATGTTTTGATGTTATAGACTAGGTCATCAAGAAATTGTTAGAGTTATAATTATAACTTAGGATTGTAAATTTGCATGTACACAATCCAACCAGACCTTTTCTGTCTCTATAGAGTTATATATTCACCTTCGGGACTCTGTTACAGAGATGTGCATACTCCATGAACATTTTATGCTTTCTGTTTAACTTCATTCATTTTGCTATCTCATCTATCACTAATATAGTACTCTGTAATACCTTTACACGTTCTTTCATCGATTTTCCTTTTTCAACTTGCAGGCGCCACCTATCAATATTAGTGTCGGTTCTCATGTGTGGGTGGAGGATCCCCAGCTGGCATGGATTGATGGGGAGGTGATCAAAATTGATGGTCAAGATGCTCATGTTAATACTACAAATGGTAAAAAGGTCAGTTTTATGTGATGCGAGTCCCTTTTATACAACTAGTCTATCAACAATCAATTTTTACATTGATTTGAACTATTCATGTGCTGACTTTGTTCACATTATGACTCTATTTACCTTCTTTGGGTGCATCACTGCATCCGTGGAGGGATGAACACTGAAATCATGTTCGAAAGAAACTAAGTCTACCATTAGATTGAACTGAAAATCCTGAGGATTTTGTGCAGCAAATAAAGTGTTTAAATGAATGTCTTTGACTGTGACATTGTCATATTCCGCTAACAAACTTTGCTTTATTCTGTTGTGTGTATGCTTTCATTTTTTTACTTTTTTTTGTGATTTTGTATTTTAGGTGGTTGTAGAGATCTTAGACATACACGTTTTTATTACAGGTTGTTGCAAATATCTCCAAGGTGTTCCCTAAGGATGATGAAGCTCCACCTGGTGGTGTAGATGATATGACTAAACTTTCCTATCTTCATGAACCTGGAGTTCTTCAAAATATGTGTACTAGATATGAACTAAATGAGATATATGTAAGGTCTCTAATTTGACATTTCATGTTTAAAGTTTTCATTGATGGAAAAGGTATAGTATTTTCACCCTTCTGCAGACATACACTGGAAACATTTTAATCGCTGTGAACCCGTTCCAAAGATTACCTCATTTGTATGATACTCACATGATGGAGCAATATAAAGGAGCTGCATTTGGGGAGTTAAGTCCTCATGTATTTGCTGTTGCTGATGTTGCGTACAGGTAAAACTGGAACTTTTGCTCTACTTTACTATCTTCGCAGATGATGCAATTAGTATTGGTTTTTCATTTCCCGTATCCCTTCACTCTCTCAGGGCAATGGTCAATGAGGGAAAGAGCAACTCAATTTTGGTCAGTGGAGAAAGTGGTGCAGGAAAGACTGAAACCACTAAGATGCTTATGAGATACCTTGCATATCTAGGTGGCAGGTCTGGAGTTGAAGGACGGACTGTAGAACAACAAGTTTTAGAAGTAAGATTAGAGTTTATATTTGTTTCTTTTATTTAAAAACATGATATCTGTGGCTATTTCCTTAGAAGGCGCTCTCCATTTTGAAATGTTATGATTTAAAAAAGATTGATGCATTAATGAGGTTCTTACATTGATTTTCAGTCAAATCCTGTTCTTGAAGCATTTGGAAATGCCAAAACTGTGAGGAACAACAACTCAAGGTAATGTGGTTCTTTACCTCAAATATTTGATTTGTTGAGTTTCATGGGCTAATTTGCACACAGCTAATGCTGCTATTGGTTCATGCAGTCGTTTCGGTAAATTTGTTGAAATACAATTTGACAAGAGTGGGAGGATATCTGGTGCAGCGGTACGAACTTATCTTCTTGAGAGATCCCGTGTTTGCCAGATTGCGTATCCTGAAAGAAACTACCACTGCTTTTATCTTCTTTGTGCCGCACCACCTGAGGTATAAATGAGATGTTCTAATCTTTGTTGTTGATATGTCTATCTGTTTGTATAAGGAACTCGTATAGCTTTCTTGCTTGGATGTAGGTGAATATTTCACATAATTTCTGCTCTATTTTACAGGAAAGAGAGAAGTATAAGCTAGGAAGTCCTAAAACATTCAATTACCTCAATCAATCTAGCTGTTATGAGCTTGACGGAGTGAATGATGGTGAAGAATACCTTGCAACAAGAAGGGCTATGGATATAGTTGGAATTAGCGAGGAAGAACAAGTTAGGCATCCCTTTATAAGTGGGAGAGTTTTTGCTCACCTGTAGTTTCTGATGTTATATTAAATTTTTCAGGAGGCCATTTTCAGGGTTGTTGCTGCAATTCTACATCTCGGTAATATTGAATTTGCAAAAGGGCACGAGATCGACTCGTCTGTGATTAAGGATGAAAAGTCTAGATTTCATCTGAATACAATGGCTGATTTACTCAAGTAGGTAGCTTTTCTTTTTTGAAACCAAAGTGTAATTGAAATCCTTGGTTTCAGTAGATCTTAGAGAATGTGTATAAATGAATAGGTGTGATTCCAAGAGCCTTGAGGATGCACTAATTAAACGTGTGATGGTCACACCTGAGGAAATTATTACAAGGACTCTTGACCCAGAGGCTGCAATGGGCAGTAGGGATGCTTTAGCTAAAACGATATATTCTCGTCTCTTTGATTGGTATGGACATCAACCGTCTTTCTTTCTTATTGTGCATGTAAACTGTTCTAATCTATATTTACATACACATACAATTCTTTGCCGTTTCTGAAAGCTTTGCTCTATTTTCCAGGATTGTGGAGAAGATAAACATTTCAATTGGGCAGGATCCAAACTCAAAATCCATTATTGGAGTTCTTGATATCTATGGATTTGAAAGTTTTAAAACCAATAGGTTAGACTTTTGAGTCTTTGAGTTTTCATTGCGATCACTATTTTACCTTATGTTACCAATGATAAGATTTTTTTTAATTAAAAACAGTTTTGAGCAGTTCTGTATCAATTTTACCAATGAAAAGCTACAGCAACATTTCAATCAGGTTAGTTCTCTCCATTGAGCAAAGATTTCAATGTTGCTTTGTGGCTTATGCATCTCCATCTAGGCATCTAGTAATTGTCTTTTGCTAAAAAAACACATACTTTGATGGTTGCAGCATGTATTTAAGATGGAACAAGAAGAGTATGAGAAAGAAGAGATAAACTGGAGCTACATAGAGTTTGTTGATAACCAAGATGTGCTGGATCTCATTGAAAAGGTTTGGAAGCAAGCTTGATCTTCTTTGAATCAAAATATTTTTTATCAGTTTCTTAGGAAAAAAATCTCCGACATCTTGATATAGAATTCAGTTACAATCTCCAATATCATCAGTCTCACAGTGTTTTGTTCAAGGAATTTGAAAGGAAAAAGAAAAGAGAATGGTAGAGAAAACAACTCTTCTTGTTTGGTTAGAGAGGAAAAGGAAAGTGGAAGGAAAAGGAAAGTTTGGAAGAAAATGCACTAAGAAGGAAAATGATTTTCCTTCTGTTTTGATGAGGAACATGAGGAAAAATCTTCCTTTTATTTTCCTTTCGAATTCCACAAACCAAACATAGTGTTATTGCTTAGAAATGTTACGACTGAATATGTTGAAATTTTGCAGAAACCCGGAGGAATCATTGCTTTATTGGATGAAGCTTGGTATGTTGATCCACTAGCTGACTACCATGGTTGTAGTCATATCTGTTACAATTTCTATTTGGCTTGAGCATATAATCTAATATACGCTACTGTATTTTTTCCCGGTGCAGTATGTTTCCTAAATCAACTCATGAAACATTTTCTCAAAAACTGTACCAAACTTTTCCTAGAAACAAACGGTTCATTAAACCCAAGCTTTCTCGGACCAGCTTTACAATTTCACACTATGCAGGGGAGGTATTACATTCAGACCCTATTGAGTACTTAGATGTTGTTTGGTACTGTTTTTGTTTTCGTTTTTCTGCTTTCATTCTCACTTTTATGAAAGCTGAAACATGAAAATGTGTTTATCATTATTGGATTTTGTTTTCAATGTCTGAAAACGATATAAATGCAAATTTCTTGTTCTCATTGTTTCATACTTAATTATCAATATCATATTTTTCATATTAAAAATGTAAAATTAATTCATACGTACTGATAATTTAAATATTAAAATAGATATTTAAATACTACTAAAAAATCACAAATTATTTAAAGATCGAGAAGCTAACACTTTTCATATTGAAATAATAAATGGAACCTAAATAAAAGAATTATACTCAAATTATAAAATAATTTGAATTAATTGTTATTAATTTCATAAATAACATTCCCTTCATTCTCTTTTAATTGTTTTTTTGTTTTTGCTTGTTGAAACTTGACCAACTATATACAAAAACCTACAATGGATTAAAATAGAAAGTGCACCATAGTATTTGTATTTTTTGAGGAATGCCATAATATTTGTATTGAAAAATACTTCTATTATATAAATTATTAAATAATTCTTGTTACAATGCCTTAAGAAATACTATTGGTCAAAAGTTCGAAACGAGAAGCAAAATGAACAATTAATAGGGAATGGAGGAAGTATTGTATAGTATAATCAATAACAACAACAACAATAATTGTAAGATAATATTATACTCCAAATTACGCGCGCGCACGTGTGTGTGTGTGTGTATCAATTCAAATTCAAATTTTCAAAACAAACAAGCATATCACATGTTTTTAGTTTAGAAAATTGAAAAGTAAACGAAAGCCAATATTCTGAAAATGGTAAACATAGAACATGCAAAAATACCAAACGACACCTTTGAAATTCATTTCTTTAATGTCACACTGCACCATTCCTCTACATTTTACAGGTGACTTATCAAGCAGACCTCTTTCTGGATAAGAACAAGGATTATGTGATTGCAGAACATCAGGACCTATTAACGGCCTCAAAGTGCTCCTTTGTAGCCAGTTTATTTCCTCCACTTCCTGAAGATTCATCAAAGTCCTCAAAGTTTTCTTCTATAGGGTCACGCTTTAAGGTATATATTCAATGACGTGCATGGATAATGTGATCATTTGAACTTATTTTTTAAAGGGTGGTGCTAGGGGGACCCCAAGTATTTTTGTTTTCTAAAATTAGACATCCATTTCCTTAACTATTGCCTCTTCAATTACCTGTTGACTTGCATATGAGAAAGGACATTCATTCAACTAAATAAGTTAAGACTTCTCAAGGACAATTCATTGCATCAAACCAGCACAATGTTCAAATTAAGTCTAAATTATGCAAATGTTTTCGTGAATAAACGTTTCAGATCTTTGGTAGTAGTTTATCTTTTCTGTCCTGTTACTTGGTATATCTCTTGGTTGAGTAATATACCAAAGGCTCTTTCTATCAATCCCTCTTTTGGCTCACAGTTTACTTGGCATCTTGCTTCATATTTTTCACTTTATCAATCCATTGTGTCAATGTCACAGTCACACACATTTCAGTTTTTTTAACCTGAGTTATGCCTATGGTTTTTATTGAGGGAAGAAACATCTTTTTAGTATCTCGAGAGTATTTGATTTCAAATCTGTTCTATCCTGTTATTATGCTTCTGTCTTGGTTGAGTGTTGTATTGTGGGTTCTTTCTACAAAGCCTATCTGGTGGGTGGACAGTCAATCCAGCACCTTGCTTCTTACCCTTCATTTTAGAATAGATTCTCAATGCTCTTTTCTCCTTTTGCAATGAGTGTACAGTTTTCATTAAGTTTTTTCTCTCAACTTACTTTTGGTGAAACATTGGTGCATGTAAAGTGCACATATTACATCTGTGCATGCATTAGGTTCAAGTTGTGTGTGTGTAATAGTCACGATCATGGGATAATTATAAGCTTTATTGGTTTCTTGCAGCTGCAACTGCAATCTTTAATGGAAACCTTGAATTCTACTGAACCTCACTACATCAGATGTGTGAAACCAAATAATGCTCTCAAGCCATCTATTTTTGAGAACCTGAATGTAATCCATCAATTGCGATGTGGTGTAAGTATAGCCAGGAAGTCATCCTTGTCCTAGTGTTTATAAACATTACACATGTAAACTTTAGACTTTGATGATTTGCTTGCTAAATCTCAAACATCTTGTTTTTTTCTGCAGGGAGTTCTGGAAGCTATCAGAATCAGTTGTGCTGGTTACCCCACCAGACGCACTTTTTATGAATTTCTTCTTCGATTTGGTGTCCTTGCTCCAGAGGTCTTAGCTGGAAAGTGAGTAACAGCTTCCTTATGTTCCAAAGACTCATTCTACATTCTTGATATACTTGTGTTGTCACATTAACTTAAGTTACTTGCAGTCATGACGACAAGGTTGCCTGTGAGATGATTCTGGGCAAAATGGGATTAAAAGGTTATCAGGTAACTTCTAATGTTTTCATGAAACAATCTCTTCATTTTGTTAGCTTGGGTCGAAGTGAATATTTTTACTCCTTATCTTTTTATGATGATCATCTGTGGTTAAGTAATTTTCACCACACAATTTTTAATGAAAACTTTGAGGTTTCTTCAGACCATACTTCCTTTATGATCACTTCTACAAAGCTTTGTACGCCATGCTATTCATAAGCAGATGCGTTACATCAGGGTAACTCTTTTATTTACAGATAGGTAAGAACAAGATATTTCTGCGGGCTGGCCAGATGGCTGAGCTTGATGCTAGAAGAGCAGAGGTTCTTGGAAATGCAGCCAGGATAATCCAAAGGCAAATTAGAACCTATATTACAAGGAAGGAATTCTTTGCATTGCGTCATGCTGCAGTTCAAATGCAATCGTGTTGGCGAGGTAAACATTTAGCTTTTGTAGTGTATCTTATTCAGGTTTTGCTAACTGTTTCTTGTAGCTATTGAAAATTCCTGATATAGATCACGACTCCTCTTGTACATTTCTTGTATCAGGAATGCTGGCTTGCAAATTGTATGAGCAACTGAGATGTGAAGCAGCTGCTCTAAAGATTCAAAAGACCTTCAGGTGTTATGTTGCATGGAAATCATACTCAACATTGCAATATTCTGCAATTACACTGCAAACTGGCATGCGAGCAATGGTTGCTCGAGATGAATTTCGGTTCCGAAAGCAAACAGAAGCTTCAATTAAAATCCAGGTATGTCTATGTCACATGCTTGTGAAAGGGAATTCAGTATTGAATATAGAAAGAGATACTATCTTCTTACTCATCTTTTCTGCTACAACCCAGTTGGATCCCACAAGTGTAGGGTCTGGGGAGGGTGTGTGTACACAGACCTTGCCCATACTAGAAAGTAGAGAGGCTGTTTCCTGCTAATTTCAGGAAATTACCTTATCATTTTATGCAGGCTTCTTTCCGTCGCCATAGAGGTTATGCATATTACAGAAGTCTTCGGAGGGCTGCCATTATTACTCAATGTAGTTGGAGGCAAAAAGTTGCTAGGAGAGAGCTTCGTACACTTAAGATGGTCCGTTCTCTACTCTTAAAATGTTTTCCTCTACCCTGCCAGTTGTGTGTGTGTGTGTGTGCACCATGCATTATAGTGTGTTTGTATGTGTGTGTTGGAGATCAACAAAGCGGACTCTTGTGGCTAACTTCTGAGTAACTATGTTAGGCTGCAAGGGAAACAGGTGCTCTCAAAGAAGCAAAAGACAAGCTCGAAAAGAAAGTGGAGGAACTCACATGGCGGTTGCAGTTTGAGAAGAGATTGAGGGTAACTTAATGAGAAATAGTTCAATAGCTTCATTTTATGGATGTTTTATGGCGCTTGAGTCATTGTACTCAATTTATCAATAAACGCAGACAGAATTAGAGGAGACAAAAGCGCAAGAAACTGCAAAATTACAGGAGGCATTGAATTCAATGCAAAAGCAAGTAGAAGAAGCAAATGCAAGAGTAATCCAAGAACAAGAGGCGGCACAAAGAGCAATAGAAGAAGCTCCTCCTGTGATTAAGGAAACTCCAGTCATAGTTCAAGACACAGAAAAGCTGAATGCTTTGATAGCTGAAGTAGATAGTTTGAAGGTAGGAATAAATAATAATGGTGATAGTAATTGTCTATAACACAATTTTGCATCATGCGTGGTAATATTTTATATTTGGTCAATGGGACTCTCGGAGAAGCTGAATGGTGAGTAGAGTCATTACAACTGATTGGGGTAAGAGAATAATATTCACTGGTTCTTTGTGTAGAGTGTACTAGTGTAGACAGGGAACAGAATCGTTCACAAAGCGTCAAATATTTCATTTTAGCTAAGCTAACTTTTATTCTACATGCAAGACTTTACACTGTTAGAATGACTCATATATTTCTTGTTTATCACCATTACTTTCCTCCCTCTTATTCTGTCTCTCACGAATCTCCCCCCTATGCAAATGAAGTTTAGCATTTGGAATGAACTGCTTCATTGAAACTTCCTTTGACAGTAACTTTTGCCTTAAAATGATAGTCCAAGTAATTTTTGTTCTGTACATACTTCACAGGCTTCACTGCTTTCAGAAAAACAAGCAACAGAAGAGGCAAGAACGGCTTGTAAAGATGCAGAGGCAAAAAATGTGGAGTTGGTGAGCAAACTTGATGATGCAGCACGCAAAATTGATCAACTTCAAGATTCTGTGCAGAGGTTTGTGATATGATTTGATTATGTGCAAACATTCTAATAGTGACAGTTTTAAGGAATTTCCCATGGGTCATGGGCTTATATGCCTACGAATTTTTTATCTTCCAATAGAAATAAAAACATGACTAGTCTTTATCTATTCCACATGTTATTTAGTGGGCTTTCTGGTCTGATTTTCTTGTCCATGCTTTTATTCTTATTACTACAGTGCTACCTTTTTGTAATTTCAGACTTGAAGAGAAGCTTTCAAATAGTGAGTCAGAGAATCAAGTACTTCGTCAACAAGCCTTAACCATGTCGCCAACAGGGAAAACTTTGTCTGCACGACAGAAAACCACTATTATTCCGGTAAAGAGGCCCAACTGGTTGTTTTTAGTATTGTTTGTTGAGCTTTTCAATTTCATTTCACTTAATGGTGATTAAAATAAGAGTACTTTTGCTTGGTGAAATTTCAGAGAACTCCAGACAATGGAAATATTCTAAATGCAGAAACAAAGGTTAGTCACGTGAGAATATATCATCTCTCTCTCTCTCTCTCTCGGTTGTGAAGTCCGGTGATGAAAGAAATAAATGTCCTATTTCATTGCATTCAATCAGGATATGCGTATAGCAGTAGCAAGTCCAAAGGAGCTTGAGTCTGAAGAAAAGCCACAGAAGTCTCTTAATGAAAAACAGCAAGTTAGTGGCATGCCTGCAACTTGTGCTTGATTTAATATTTTAAAGTGAAGTGTGGTAATTTCATTATATAGAACTTCTTCTTGACAGGAGAACCAAGACTTGCTGATCAAGTGCATCTCACAAGATTTGGGGTTTTCTGGAGGCAAACCAGTAGCAGCATGTGTTGTGTATAAATGCCTACTTCAATGGAGATCATTTGAAGTTGAAAGAACAAGTGTTTTTGATCGTATAATACAAACTGTAGCCTCAGCTATAGAGGTATAGCCTTGTGTTTTGATCAATCATGATTTAATATACGTAGTACGTAGTATATTTTATGGATGACATTTTGACATGTCACTAACTTCACCTTTGCTGAAGGTTGCGGAAAATAATGATGTGTTGGCCTATTGGCTATGCAATATTGCCACACTGCTGATGTTGCTCCAACAAACACTTAAAGCCAGTGGCGCAACTAGTTTGACTCCGCAACGACGAAGGTCATCGTCCGCATCTCTTTTTGGAAGGATGTCTCAAGTATTACGCGTCTTACTAATTTCTTGCTTATATTTATCCAATTACTTGAATCATTCTATTTCTTATATCCATCTTGTCTTTGGTTTTTTAAATTTTGATGTAGGGATTACGAGCTTCACCGCAGAGTGCTGGGATTTCCTTTCTCAATGGTCGTGTATTGGGAAGATTGGATGATTTACGTCAAGTTGAGGCTAAATATCCTGCTTTGCTATTCAAGCAGCAGCTCACTGCCTTCCTTGAAAAAATATATGGAATGATAAGAGATAATCTGAAGAAAGAGATATCTCCTTTGCTTGGGCAATGTATCCAGGTATATGCTTGTTTGTTTTGCAAATAGTGAGACACTATCTGCATGTCAAGTTAAGTAGGCTATTAATTTGAATATTTCTTACGGGTTAGCATGCAAAACAATTTTCAAATGCCAATGCTTTGAACTTGTAGAGTTTCCCACAGCTGATTATATCCTATGTTTGATATCTTTGATGTGTTGTCAAAAGTTGCATGGAAATCCTTAAAATATGATCAATTTTCAATGCTCAACTTCACTAGACGATTTATTGGCCAAATTGAGGAAAGAGTGGAGATGTTAACGGGACGGAGGGAGTAATCAAATCTGAAAAAGAAGAAGGATCAAATCAAATATTTGAAACAACATTTCATTTTAAAAATATTTGAAAACACCATTCTATCCTTAAAATCACCCAATGCATCTCAAGATAATATTTGAGATGTTTTGGATACGATTTGGTTTGAAAAGTTTTAATGAAAATTATTAAAATTTATTAAAATCGGAAAACGGAAGGAAATTGCATTAACTTTCTGTAAGGCTATAGCCGGTGCCGGTTTTGGGCTTGGCAAAGATTCATCCTGGGCAGTTCTGTATCAGACCGGGACAGTTCTCCCCGTACATCCCGGTGACTTTTCTGTTTCGCCCAAAATTGCTTTTCGGCTGTTCAGGTCGGACCCCGTACCCTCTATGTATTAATGGCCGGAGGTCCGTTTTTGTGTCCAGTACGTCCACCATCATCTAAAATATTGCAAATAATTATCTCACCCAGTAGACATCATTTATGTAGGAAAAGAAAATTAACGAGCTTTCCCGGTTCATATCATTCTATTCCATTTTGCCACATTCAACTATATCTTTGTATGATTCTCTCGAGGTTGTTGGAATGTGGGGTTTCTCCTAACTTCAGATTACTAGCATGTTATTTCTTTCTTTCTTTATTTGCATGTTTATGTGTGCTGCTTTTTTGTAGGCACCAAGAACATCCCGCGTAAGTTTAGTGAAAGGACGGTCCCGAGACAATGCAGCTGCTCAACAAGCTCTGATTGCTCATTGGCAAAGCATTGTAAAACGTCTCGATAACTACTTGAAGACGATGAAAGCAAACTATGTGAGTTTGCAATTCTTGTACTGAGCAGCAGACAATCCTAAAATTCCTAGCCATTTCATTGTTATTTTGTTCTGATTGTTTTACTATTTTAGGTTCCTCCATTCTTAGTTCGGAAGGTCTTTACTCAGATGTTTTCATTTATCAACGTCCAACTTTTCAACAGGTTAATCCTTGTCCATGTTGTGTACCTTTATTTCCTGCCTTTTCAAAAAATAATAATTATAATCCTATTGGCACTTCTTCGTTTGCATGCTTTTTTAACTTAAGCCTCAACTTTCAGTCTGCTTTTGCGACGTGAATGCTGTTCATTCAGCAATGGAGAGTACGTAAAATCTGGATTGGGGGAGTTGGAACAATGGTGCTCCTACGCAACTGAGGAAGTAAGCATCTGTTATGGACCCACTGGCGCTTAACAGTGTCACTAAGGCTCCGTTTGATTTCAGGAAAATTAGTTCCTAGAAAGTGTTTTCTGGATTTTCTAGTGTTTGGCACAAAAATACATTTCCCTGCTAGATTCTTTCATCTTCTTCGGAAAATGTCTTCTTCTTTTGAGGAGGGGAAGTCATTTTTCTAAACCAATTTTATTTTCTTGTTTTGTGGGTTGAACATTATCCGGTGTACATTATATAGTACTCCGGGTATGTTACTATTTGTTTGATAGGAAAACAGTTTTCCAAATCTCACAAGAACTTATTTTCTTGTGATTAAACGGAGCATCAACTATTGATAATATTCCATATTCTTTTGTGCTCTAATTTTCCGTGCTTGCCCTCAGTATGTAGGCTCAGCTTGGGATGAGTTGAAGCATATCAGACAAGCAGTTGGATTCCTGGTAAGGATTTGGATTTGAACAGCTTTCATTGTGATCTAATCAAACTCGAGCACGACCTACTCAATATGGTTGATTTTCAAATTATCACATGCTCAATCGCCTTACTAACAGGTAATACACCAAAAGCCCAAGAAGACATTACATGAGATCACAAATGAACTTTGTCCTGTAAGAATCTCTCTCTCTCTCTACAGCTGTTTATCTTCTCTTGTTTCCTTCTTATCACACTAAGTTTCCTGGCTTTACTATTTTTTAGGTGCTTAGCATACAGCAACTATATCGGATCAGTACGATGTATTGGGATGACAAATATGGAACCCACAGTGTTTCCACCGATGTAAGCCTTGTTTTTGTTCTTTTTGCTAAGTTTTTCATTGTTTCATGAATTTTAATGGGGGTTGCAGTTCCTTTTAAGCTGCTATTTCTTAAAAAAAACAGGTCATATCAAATATGAGAGCCATGATGACAGAGGATTCTAACAATGCTGTTAGCAGTTCCTTTTTGCTTGACGATGATACAAGGTAATCTTTATTTTGAAAAACATTAGGAACTCATTTTACACCCATAATCTTGGGAGGTTTTTCCAAGGAAAGGACCCTCCCTCCACATGTCCTACATATGTAGAGGAGGATATTTTGTGTAGGACCATTTGATTTCCACAATCTGTGATACCAAACCAAACAAATTCAGTCTATCTGACTCAATAGTAAGGTCTGGGAAGGGCAAGATGTACCCGGACCTTACCTTTACTCGGGTTACAGAGGCTGTTTGGTCCCGAACAATAGTGGCAAGCTGCGAGAGTGCATTTTGAATTTCAGCGGCAGGTCCCATTAATTCAGGAGGAAATCAAATGGTCCACAGTTGTTTCCTTGGAAAAATCGTCCATCTTATACCCAGATTCCAGAGTTTAGCTGTATAGTGATGTTTTTTTTAAACAATGCAGCATCCCTTTTACGGTAGATGACATATCTAAATCAATACAACAAGTTGACATTGCCGACATTGATCCTCCACCATTAATTCGTGAAAACTCGGGGTTCGTATTCTTGCATCAACGCACGGGTTGATAAAAAGGATACCACGGCCACATCAAGCCAAGTGCCCAAAAAACATGCAAAAACTTGTGCATATTTAAATCCCATACTTTATCTCTTCCATACGTACCGATTTTTTTCTTGTTCCCCAATTTTATTGGACTGCCGTGGTGGGGGTCCGCTGTCCGGTCCAATTCATTCGTTTTTTTCACCCCTCACGCTTTTTCAACGTGAGAGGCATCTCTAGTAGGCCATCCGGCTTGTAGTATGATCATATATATATATACCTATATGCAGGCTTAGGAAGATGCATTATTTTGATTTTTTTGGGGGGTGGTTTCGTCTTTGGTTGTAAAGATCAGATAACCACGAACCGTCGTCAATTTAAGGCGGCATTCGTTTGTAGTGTGGCAAGAAAATGCAGTGATTAAGGTTTTTGGTTGTAATTATATCAAATTGTATTGTTTGGAGGTGTGTAAACATTCTTTCTATACATACTCTTTGTTTCATAGTTTCTTTGGCATAAGAAGCTCACAGTTAAAAAAAAAAGGAAATGAAAGTTTCATTTCTTTGGGGCCATGTGCAAATACAATAGTACTCCCGTCGTCCCATTTTAATTTGCCCGTTTGAATATTTACCGCATTGAATGCAACATTTTAGTTCTTAGTTGTAAATAATTGCACATTGGAGTATAAAATTACTCTGTACGACATCTCAAAAATTACATTTCAAAATCAATGTAAAGAGATAAAATTTGCATTCTGATTAAATGTATTTTAACTACAGAGTACAAAATTCGGTCGGAAAAATTTACAAGGAATATTCCAACAAGTTTGTGATTTCAAAGCTTTACTCCTTGGTTTGACAAATCACACCATAACTCCAAAAATTGCTCTGTTTTCTTACAAATGTTTTACTCCATATATGCTACTATGTATCACTTGAGATTTGAAGAAAAATGGAATAAAAAGTACACTATAACATATCAAATTAATTAGCAAATATTACTTGATTTTTGAAGACGACAATAATGTTTGAAGTATAATTGATTTATATTTAATTATTTTTGGATAAAAATATATAATGTTCATTTTTCTTTACATTAAGTCAACAAGTTTTGCACTAAAAAATTTAACAATTTGTTTTAAACTATTTATTTTTCTTCTGTTTATTGTTATTTCAATCAATTAAATATAATTAAAAAATGTTGTTATGATGTGACATCGATTCAATTAGATCATCAACATCGTTGTATTTGTAAAATTGATGATCCATATATATATATATATATATATATATATATATATATATATATATATATATATATATATATATATATG